CATTTTCCCCTCTTTTCCACTGTATCAAGATATGGAACTTTTTTTGCTTCATTTTTTGTACTACATGTGCCTTATTTTGAAGAGTCACTGGTTTTATTTCTGTGCTTATTTTAATTATCTTCTACCATCTACTCTGACAATTTTAAAAAAACAGAACAAATGTTTATTGAGCATATATTGGCATGTACTAGGGTGTAGTTATAATTAAGACACATTCTCTGAACTTGGGGGATTGTCTGTTAGGGTTGAAAATGACCTCAACATGTAGGAAATGACACACAACATGTAAGAGCAAAGAAGGAGGTGGCGGATAAGGTCTAAACCTGACCTTAAAGGATGGATGAGAGGATGCCACACTGGGGGATACGAGGGCATTCCAGAGGAGCCCGGCCTCGGTGGAAAAGCACAGGTGCAGTTCTGGTGGGTATACAGCAAGTGTGGTGGGAGAAGGCTTGTGCCAAGATTGGCGAAATGTTCTGGTGTATCATTTCATCAGAAAGACAGCCTTCCTTTACTGGCGCCTCTATACATTTGAATGATGGAGAAGAAGACCCAGGAGGAGACTGAGAAGCAGCCGAGAGGTAGAAGGAGATTTAATAGCTTGTGCTGCTGTGGAAACCCAGAGGGGGCGGGACTGGAAAGATGGTTGCTTATGAGCATCAGCTGTGGACTAAATTCAACTGTAATTCCACTCTTCTTGATTGATCATTTCCTCCATTCTCCCATGTCCTGATTTCTGGACGCAACGAGCAAAGTCCTTTCCTCGAAACAGTGTCTCTTGATCAGTTGCAGCAGAATTCAGAAATAACATATAAGGTTTGGTCGTTTTTTTAATTTGGTACCACATTATTCACTCTATGACCTTTTGGTACGGTGCTGCAAAGCTGCCTAAATGCTTTTTTTTCCTTTCACTTCATTGACATGTTTCTGTGGGATATTTTGCAGGTAAGTATTGTGTTATGATGCCTTCAATATATGACATTGCCTGATTGCTGGTCCTTTTCTGTGTCTTTTCACTTTAAGTTGAGAATTCTCTTTTGAGTTTTAAACTCGTTTTCCAGATTCCTTCATCACACTATGAACCTAGCCTTTGTGTGGCCCTGGCTCAGGTTCACTCCCATTGCCTCCTTTTGTTTATTTCATGAAAAGTCCATTCCTTCCTTTTCCTCTGCCGAACACAAACCACCTTCTCTGCAGTTCCTGCCATCCTGCTTCTCTCCGCCTCATCGACTCCCCATCTCACTTCAAATCTCAGTAGTAAACATATGTTCTCCCTTGTCTGTACCTCTTAATTTCTCTTTTCCACTGTTACTGCCTTCTCTGTAATTGTATTAAACTTTGTTAAGCATTTTGTAATATGAAAGACATAGTTGAAGACAAAGTTGTATTATAATAAAATCATGTCCTATAAAGCACGTTGTTTCCCAAAGAGTATGAAAGTCTCATGATACAAGTTAAAATGACTATTGTTTTTATTTCCTTGATTATGCTAATATAAAAGTTCAGTGTGTTGCCGAGAATTTTTCACCACATAATCATTGCAGATAAGTGATTGGATTAAACAGCTAATAAAGTAAAGGTCGCCCTATTCCTAATTACGATATTTTGATAAATGGAATGTAGTATTTGTATATGTTACAAGAATCTTTAAAGGAGTGTTTTGAATGAACTGGAAAGGAAGATGTCTCCCAAAAGGTATATTTTCATAATCACCGTTTTGGAAAAATTTAGTGTACCAGGCTAATATTTATTTATTTGCACCAGGAGGGGAAAGTAATTTTGTTTTTGAATCCCATCCTCCTTACAAAATAGAGTTATTGTATCCTTTGCACTGGTTTATTGCCCATTAGGATATTCGTTGGTTATCACAAATCACCTCCACACCTTGGCAGAAGTCCAAACAGTACATGGACTGTTTGGGCTTCAGCATTGGTCATTGCTGAGGTTATGCCTCCACTTCCTTTCTCAGCCTCATTTCCCAAGGAAAAGTGCTATGCATTTTCCTTCTTCTCCATGTATTCTTCCCCACTCCGAAACTCGTTTATGTGTCATCCTCGTTGACTGGAAGGGGCTTTAGAATCAGCTAAAGATGTTAATAACAATGAGTTAACACATTTTCTATTAAAATTTCTGTGCCTTGTTTATTTTCAAAAATTTTTAATTTTATCAGGTTTTTTGGAATAGTGTTGCTGTAAAAGAATAAATATATTTGCTTTCACAAAATTCTTTGTCATTTTTAACTATCTTACAAAAAATGAAAGATTATTATTTGTAGTTGGAAAAAATAAAGCATTCATTTACATTTCTCTTGTACAATGAAGATATTTGAACATATAATGCATATATTGACAGTTTATAACTCATTTTTATATATGTTGCCTCAAAGCAAAATTTTATTTAACTTTAACACAGCCTAAAAATGATACTGCCGATATGACACTCTTGCAGCTCTTGATATTATCCCATAATCCACATGGTAAAAGCTGGCTGGAAACAGTTCAGAAGTTTGTGGTTTGTATGTCAAATAGAATTTGACTTTCACAATTTGTCTTAATTTTTTTGCCAAGAGTTATGAACGTACATGTAAATGATGATATCTTATTTGGCAGATTTTTTTGGTTTTGTAAAACTTTTACTTTCTAATGTAGTTTTATAAAGAAAGTGAAAAGAGCTTGATTGAAGCAATTTATAGACTGTAGAGTGAGAGGTAATATCCAAAGATCATACGGTCAAATTCATCCATCCCACCTTGGCAGATGGTATTCTGTCCTCGTCTTGAAGATTTACGGGAATAAAACATCCAGTCTTCCAAATTAGCTGATCAGTCAGTTGACTTGGATACATATACATTGTTGTTCATTTCCTAAATTTCATTTTTATAGTTTAAATTTATTTCATTCTTTTAAGAAAGAGACCAAGTAACTTCTTTGGCAAATTATCATTCTTAATTTACCTGGGGGGGCCTCCTTTGTAATAAAATACATATGGTGAAAGAGAGAGCCATATCCTTTGAAATTTTGGTGTAAGATTTGAGATTTGTGCAGCTGTAAAAAAATGCTTTTCTTGACAGATTTATACTTGTGGATGAAATGCTTACATAAGCAAGTGATACTAGTTAATTACTTTTCCCCACATTTGTATGACCTATATATACTTCTGCACTTGGTGTTCTATGTCCTGAGGTGAATCTGATTTGATTCATGATACATCAGCACTAGGAACATGTGCTGATGTATCATGGAAACACCTTAGTCATTTTAATAAATGCTTTGTTACTCCAGGAAAAGTCTTGTTTGGATTGTTCTGTATTTCTTGTTCTTAGGTTAAAGGTTCTTCCATTTAGTGAGTCTACCTATGGACTGGCCTTCACTGTGGCTCATTTTCTCTTGTGGTCTGTAGGTTTTTGTTGTGATACATCTTTTAAAAGTGTTTACTCTTTGTACTGTGTTGTGGAAGCCTCCCTGCAAAAAGGTTTACCATCTGCCCCTAATGGTTCCTAATGTTCTACCAGTTCAGGACTACTTCTTTTTAAATTTTTTGACTGGGGGATGGAGTATGGATTCTAAACCATGAAGGTATTATGAATTTAGGCTCACATTCTTTTGCATGGTATGTGCCTAAAAAGGTTCTGATTTTACTCTGGTGACTTTTCCCCTCATTGCCTAAGTCCATGTCACGTCTCTTTGGGCTTCCTGGCCAGTGAGCTGTTTTCATATCCCTGGTTTCATGGATAGGGTGATCTTTCCTGAGTTTCAGCTTTATGAAGGTACTTCCAACTGTGATCTGTAGCTTGAAATAACATTTCTGCATGGGCGTTAGAAATTCTACTATTAGGGCCTGTAGCTGGTTCCATAAGCCACATTAGCTTTAGCTCCTATGCTGTGCTCTTTGACTTCCTCTTTGTTCTCTGAACTCTGAATTTTTTTTCACTTGTTTCAAGCTCAGCTGTTAATTTACTGTTTTACTTGTTACATTTTTCAGGCATTTCAGTGTATTTGGGTCTTCCTGGGATTGATTGAGAGGCAGAAAGAATGCTGTTAGGTAATTTTAAATTATTTTAGACTTATGCCTAGGCTGGTGTGGCTCAGTGGATTGAGTGCTGGCCTGTGAAACAAAGGTCCACTGGTTTGATTCCCAGCCAGGGCACATGCCTGGGCTGCAGGCCAGGTCCGCGGTTAGGGGCGCGCAAGAGGCAACCACACATTGATGTTTCTCTCCCTCTCTTTTTCGTTCCCTTCCCCTCTCTCTAAAAATAAATAAATAAAATCTTAAAAAAAGAAAAGAAATGAAGATCTTTGGCTAGATTCCCTTTTTCAAGAAACTTCGTCCTATGTGGACCCTGGTGGAGCTAGGGTATATATTTGATATAAAGGTGATGCCAGCAGATACCAAAAAATAAGCCTACTTATGTGTTTCATAAGTTATAATGATTTATAATCTTATCCTAAAGTTTTGAAAGGCTAGCACATTGCTCTACTAAAGAAAAGTTGGTATATTCCTCTTATTTTACTTAGGAGAAGTTAAGCTTAAGACTTTACAGGTACAAAAATAAGTATGTTTGATTCCTTATTTGTGTAGACAAGAGGCTAACTACTGCATGTGGACAGGGGTCAGACCGGGGTTGTAAACTGGTAGAGCTGGCCAGGAACCGTGGCAGCCACCCAGAGAGCTCAGGCCTCTCCTAACTGGGGTCTTCTTGACGGTTAAAAGTTGCAAACTAGTCCAAATTTTAAAAAACACTATATGGTGCCAATAAAATATCTGTTGGTATAGTTTAACTATAAGCTCTGGGTTTACAACCTCTATATAGAGAGGGTTCAGTATTATATTTTTATATTTTTTCATCAAATTCACAATATATTAGTTCTTCATAATGGTCCACAAAGTAAAGTGTAACTTGTTCAGTTTGAAAGTTCTGTGTCTATCTCTGATAAATCTTTTGGGATAGTTGGCTTCCTAATTTGGAAGTCAGAATATTTTCTAAAATTTTTATCTTACAGGTAAAAGAATGTCACATATCAACATCTGTACCTGAAATCAGCATGCAATTTTCAGGCCGCATGGATGAGTGCCAAATTTTGCGTTTCCTATGACCTTTCTATCTGGGGGTGAGTGATTTCTAAGAATAGCTGGCAGCACACCAGATGCCAGCCAGCCGTGGACTGCCCTAACAAATAATGCTAAGGGTTATAAATTAAACACTCTCTGGTCATCTGTAATGTGTAAGGCAGTTAATTTAGTTGGTCTGAATTAACTGTCAGCTCCAGAAAACTGTATTCCCATAATGTGAAATCTGTACTTAGCATGTTTGGACATAATGAATAATTAACAATAGGGAATCTTTGGTTAAAAAGTGAAATTATAAAATGCCTAAGAGTCTTGGATTTACAGCAGTATTTTAACAGTTCACTATATATTTTAAATAATTTTAAAAGTTGAAGGACTTGCTATTTCTCGAAGGATAATTATAATTTTGTGTAAAATAGGTCTGGGGTCATACATCTTCTATTGCCTTATAATATTAGTTTTGCTTTTGATAGAGCATAAAATTGTATACACTTGTAATAGTTAGATTTCTTAAGAATACCTTATGGAGATTATACCAAAGATTCATATTATATTGTTTCATTCTGGGAAATTACATTGGGCAAAAAACCTGTTTATTATCTTATTTTCATGCATTTTTCTGTTTATTTAAATTATTTTACTTTATCGAGTCATTCAATTTTTTAGAACATCCTTCAAAGAGTTCATGCATCTTACAGAGGACACCTGACCTTTTGAAGCTTCATAATTCACATCTAGATGTCACCAGTGTTCCCCATGTTAACAGTTCTGACCATGTTTTATTATCTATGCCTTCGGCGCCGAGCCAGGACAGCTACAAGAGGAGAAATGATGAACAGCCATAGAACTATAGAATCAAACAGCCGGACTTCCCCTCTGAATGCAGAGGTGGTCCAGTATGCCAAAGAAGTAGTGGATTTTAGTTCCCATTATGGAAGCGAGAATAGTATGTCCTACACAATGTGGAATTTGGCAGGTGTACCTAATGTATTCCCAAGTTCTGGTGACTTCACTCAGACAGCTGTGTTTCGAACTTACGGGACATGGTGGGATCAGTGTCCTAGTGCTTCCTCGCCTTTCAAGAGGACACCGCCTAATTTTCAGAGCCAAGATTATGTGGAACTTACTTTTGAACAACAGGTGTATCCTACAGCTGTTCATGTTCTGGAGACGTATCATCCTGGAGCAGTCATTAGAATTCTAGCTTGCTCTGCAAACCCCTATTCCCCAAGTCCACTAGCTGAAGTAAGGTAAGACTCATTTTTTAATGATTATGTTACATCCCTGAAAGGTTTTGGTTGTTTTAATATTGCAGGGCTTTTTAAAAATTATTATTATTATTAGAAGCATTCTTTTAATTTAAACAAGTCTGATTTTTAAAATTTTTCTTAGTTTTTCTGATAGGAAAAAAAGATTACACATATGAAGATTTAAAACATTTTTCATACCTATAACACCTCACACCATAATACTCATAGATTGTGAAATTTGTGTGTCCCAGAATTTACTATAAACAAAAAGAATGATTTGAACTAATTGGGATGTGGGCAAATCTGAGAAGTTAGGAGGAAATATGATTTCTAACATTTTCAGACAGGCATCATGTTACTGCTTTTAAATACTTTTAGGAGGTCCTTAGGAGATTAGCTTTAATATTAGGTGAATGTTTTTTATAACAAACACATTCATTTAAAAATAAATACGCTTTAAGTAACTCATGCATTCCCCTTAAAAGCCTCTTTATTTACATCATTAGTTTGCACAGCAGTGCCCCGCTTTCTTTCTCTCTCACTCTCTCCTGTTTGTGTAGTTCAGCCTGCTTATTTTTTAAAATACAGTTATTTGACCACTATATTAACATTTCAGTAACCTAAAAGTGTGTAATGTAGTCTTGCATGTATCTTGTCCTCCTTGTGCCTACTGTAGGCACAGAACGGGGGAGACCGACTTCTCCCTCCCTAAAAAACAAAACAAAACAAAACACCCCACTTTTATCCACATCCCTTGTTTTTTCTAGAGTTTATTTATACAAAGACAAACAAATACAAATTTATTCTTATTTTCTTTATACACATATATAAGCACACTATTTATATTGTTCTGTACCTTATTTGTGTCATTTAATGGACTATATTGGACCTTTTCACATAAGTGCAAAGAACACTTACTCATTCTTTTCTACATTTGCAGGTAATGCACAGTGTATATGTACCTCAACTTACTAACAATGCCCCTATCGATGAATACTTAATTGTTTCCATACTTCTGCTGTTATAAGCGTACTTGTGTGCACATGCACAATAAATTCTCCGGATTGTTGAGCCAAGGGTCTGTGTATTTGTAATTTCAGTATAGTGTCAACTCTCCCTCCAAAGAGGCTCTGCCTATTTGTATTTCTAATAACAATGAATGTGTACACATGTTTTGCCAAAGCTCCACCAATAGAGTGTATTAATACATTTTAATATTTTTGTCAATTTGGTAAATAAAAAATGTTATCTCATGCTAATTTTAAGTTAAAATTATTTTATTTCTGAGGTTGAATATTTTTACATGTTCAAAAGCTGTTGATATTTTCTTCTCCTTCAGCTATCTGAACATATTATTTGCCCATTTTCTATTACTTATTGATTTATAACTTTTTAGATCTTTATAGCATTATTATTTTATTCATCAAATATTTGTGTGTCTACCATGTGCTAAGCATTGTTCTAGGTACTGGGGATACAATAGTGAACAAAACAGACAAAAAAACCCTGCCCTTAGGAGTCTATTCTGGCCCCAGAGCAGTTGGTTGTCACCCGTTAAACTGTAGGAGCCCAGCTGCCAGTGGAGGAGTAGTGGGGCAGTGATCGGCTGCCACCTAACATGGTGCTTCCCTGAAGTCCCAGTTCCCTCAACTCTAAGGGACACCGCCCAGCCCACCAGGAAACAAATACAGAGCTTAACTCAAGCTGGAGACTGCTGGTGTAATTTTTACTTGTTCTTCTCAGAACTACCTTGATAATTCATTGTGAGCAATGTTATTAATGAATCAAATTACTTTAAACATGGAAAACCAGCACCTTTTAATATACAGATTTTTTTCTGAGAGGAAAAAAAGTGCTTTGAGCAGGATCCTTTCTTGTTTGAGAATTGATTTATTGGGCTGTCATTCTTTGCTTCTTTCCTACAAAGTTACGCACTTTCTTCATTAAATGCTGAACAAATTTGGGGATGAAATCTATGAAACATGTAATGTCTTTCCTCTAATTTAAAACTTAATGTGTGCATAACTGATTTTGAGTATAAGTTATGCTCTTCGGTTCCTAGGTGAGAGCTCTAGTGCATGATTGTGACTAAAGTAACAACTTTATTTACAGTGATCTCTAATGCGCCTAACTGATGTTTAGCTTTATTTTACAGAAAATACCATTATATTTTAGGAGAGAAAGAATCTAGTCAACATTTATTATTGCAGAATAAAAAAGGACCTTTTTAAATTTTACTGATTATGAAATCAGTAGATGTTTCATTGTTTAAAAAGCTTGTTAAGAAATACCAAAAAAGAAAATATACAGGGAAAAAAAACTTTACATTTCTTCTGCCCAGATTCAGTAACTGTTAACATTTTGCAATTTCTTTGGACAGACAGAAACATTGATTGTTCTGCCAGTTCATGTTGGGAACAAAACAGAGTCAGACAAACTTGACTTGTGTTCTTTGAGTTTTATAGGCCAGCCTGGAAAGGAACTGTGAGATTATAGGGAACGTATGTTGGTGGAGGGAAGAACCTAATAACTTAAGGGGCTCAGAGAAGTTTTCCCTGAGGAAGTGACTTTGAGACCTGAGGGTTCAGGGAGGGTTTAGTTTGGATAGGAAAGGTAGAGGGAGAAGAGCACATGCAAAGATGAAATCATGAGCTGAGATCTTGGTGTCTGAAGAAGTGAAAGTCCAAGAGTGTAGAAAACAGACTATTGAAGGGCTACTAGCACAGGAATGCTATTGTTAAGATCTAAAGTAGTGGTTTCCAGACTTTGGGATCCATAGAGCCCTTGGATCCAGTTTCCCAGAAGCAGACCTTGAGAAGACTGTTCCTATGTAAATGATTTGTTATGGGAATGCTCCTTGGAGAGACCTGTATGAGAGTGGGGAAAGTACTTTGGGGAAGGGAGGAAGTCAGGCAAGGATGCAGTTTTCTGTGTGTAGTCCCAGTCTGCCTGAAGGCAGAGTTGCTAGAGAGGTGGGCTCTTACACTCCTGCAGCTCTCTGCCGTGGCTATGGGCTTATGGGCTATGGGCTATGGGCTATGGGCATGGAAATCTTTCAGGCACATGCCGCACTCTGGATGAAGAGGTAGTTCTCTGAATAAGGCTGCAGGTGGAAGCCCTTAGTGAAGCAAGCAGATCTGAAGGATGGGCCCAAAGAACTGACCAGTAGATCTAAATGGAGCACAGGTTGGAAAAGTCAGCTACGATAAATCAGTGAACATAATAGTAATGATAATAAAAATTAGAGAACTGATACAGGGTTGTCAGATTATTTGCTAAATAAACATACATTAAAAAGGCAAGCAAATGAAATACCAACATCATTTATTATCACTCTCATCTCATATTAAGACCTCAGTTAATACTGAGAAGTTAGGATGATCAGAATCTCAAAAAAAGAACAGTTGGCAATTTTACACGTGTTTATGTGCATACTTTTATGTATATATTAATATATTCCTTATTTTTTACATTTAGCCATGGAAACCTTCATCACTCACTATTGTTCGGGTAGCACTGGACTATTCTGCCTATAATTAATTGAGCACACAGTTTTACGCCCACCTTAGGAGTTAGCAAATGGGAATGTGTATTGGAGTAGCTCCGAAATTTGTTTGCAGAAAATGGACTTGTAGTCCAGAACATTCAGAATTGGAAGGAAACTTTCCCCATTTCATCTGCCTGCATTTCTTTGTTCAAGGAGTGAAGTAGAAAGTTATAGGTAGTTCTATAAGATCTCAGTGTCTTCTGACTTCTTGCCGAGTACCCTATTAAGGGAAAATTTTTAAAAAGGTAGTAGAGAGTGTCCTGGCCAGGAGGATAAGATCTTAATGGGCACTTGGGTAAGAGGCAGAAAATAGGCTAGCACAAAGTTACACATGGGAAGAGAGATACAGAGGAGGTAAGAAAATGACAAATTGTCATATTGAAGAAACTGGAATAAAGTTATTTGGGGCTAAAATTTAGTGGTATGGATCTCTTTCAGGTTTTTTTTTGTTTGTGTTTTTTTTGTGTGTGTGTGTTTAAAGCATTTTAACCATATAATACTGAAGTTTAAAAAGCAAGGAGAAAAGAAAGTGGCTGTTGTAGGGAGAATTTGTTGCCAAAAGGAGTTGCCTAATTAAGCAACAATTTCACAAATTGGTCATGGTCTGGTCCCCTTGACTTTGTGGGCCAGCAAGCATGATTTGGCCATTTAAGTCACAATTGACCAGACCCTTTACTGGTTGATTTTTGTTAAAGCGGATGCCAGTTTGTTAGTTCCAATTAGAGAAGGGCTGGGGAAGCAGGGAAGTGAGTAGGTACACCCATCAGAATACTTTTTCCTTATTCTCGTTGCTTTACTGTTCATGTGGTGAAATAGAATGGTGTTGGTAAGAGAACTTTCTTTGTGCTGGCTACTAGATATGCTTACTAACCAGGAGAAATTTTGATTACAGGGAAACTTTTTGCATTTATGTGCCTGGCTTCCAACCTACATTAGAAAACTTGTTTTCTTGGGTTTCCATTGATTAACATCTCTTTTCCTCTCTTACCTACCTGCTGCTTTCAGTAAGCTGTAGACATTCTCACTGGGGTAACAACAGGTCAGCAGTTGCAGAGTGGCTTGTTGCTTTGTTTCCAGCCACTGGACACATAGAAGGCATGTTGCACAAGCCGACACAAGGAGAAATGAGTGTTCCGGTGGAGAGAGTCTGATGGTTATCATCCAAGGATTAATGCTCCAGGTGCAGAACGAAGCAGAGCCTGAAGAGGGATTCCAAGCTGGCTTTGCATGTGTGATACTGACTTAGAACACTAAGAATACTTACATAGAACATTAGAGTTTGGCAAATTTGTCCAGTAGATAAATACAGTGTATGAGCATATGTAGTACATTAATGCACAGACTACAAAGGCCATGGCTTCAAGCAGCTTAATCACACATCAACTCTGTCCCGGGGCTAGAGGATTTAAAAAATTGGTCTTTCTCATAGAAAAGTGTATATGTGTATCTGTGTGTGCACATACGCACATTTGTTTACAGTTGTTTGCTTGTTCTCACTAGTTTTTAAGATTCTGGCGTTCTTTCTCTAGAATAGAAAGATATTGTCATATTCTTGTTTGCTAAAATAGATACCTTTCTCTTTCTAACTTTGAAATAATATATTCTAAAAGTCAAGTCAAGGAGCATGTATAAAGGACCCATGCATGGACAAAGCCAAAGTGGGGAAAGACTCAGGGTCGGAGGTGGGGGTGGGTGGGGCAGGGGAAAGTGGTGGCAGGAAAATGAAGACAACTGTACTTGAACAACAATAAGAATAAATTAAAAAGAAATAATATATTCTAGTTCTACCATGGACTTTTAAGCAAAAATTCACTTTGATTCAGATACCCCCAAATCAATTTTTTAAATATTAAAAAAAATAAAAGTAAAGCATCATTTTAACCTTGTATATTCTACAAGGTAGATAGAGAGAACTAATACATTATTTTTTTATTTAAATTTTATTTTTCAATTACAGTTTACATTCAATATTATTTTGTATTAGTTTCAGGTGTACAACATAGTGGTTTGACAATCATATACTTTACAGAGCTTTCCCCTGATATTGCTAATACCCACTTGGCATAATACATAGTTATTACAATATTATTGACAGTATTGTGACTATTGTCACAATATAGTGACTGTTTTAGTCACTGTGACTATTTTGATTAATACATTATTAAAATAACTTATTTCTGCTCTAATCAGTGCTTTTCTTTAGGCTTATATTTGTGATTTTATAATGTAATTTATGTTATACTGCAAATCAAGCTATACCTGAAGAACATGTTCATGTGTTTATTTATTGCAGAGGACCTGGCAGAGGTAATTTCTATATTACAGTTTCAGTGTTTCTGATAAGCCTCATAAAAACTCATTGAAGCTGAAAAATAGGCCGATTTAGTCCACATGTACTGTGAGCCAGTATAGGCAGTTATGGTCCTTGTTTCTTGGACATGAGTCGTTCTTCCAGCATCATCTGATGTCATTTTGCTGTAGCCAAAAAAAGGATGAGTAAAACCAATGTTTGAATTTTCTCATGCATTCTGCCATTTACTTCATGATTCTTGGAACTATACTGTCCAGAATTAGGAATGCATTTTCCCACTAACATGGTTTTAAATGTTTGATACTTCTGTTCCCTTGTACCTATATGGTTATCTCTATTTACCTGCATGGATTTACATTAGAGTGTTCAAATCAATTCCATTGTTAAGAACCCTCAAGACTTTTGCAGTTAAACTTTAGGATCACTTTAGGTCTAGACTAGCATTCCACGTTTGCTTTTCTACTTTGTCACAGGAAGAGGAAGATACCCAGTCTGCTTTCCTTTCCTCTTTAAACCTGCCACAACCTACTCTATGCCTTAGAATTCTACCTCTGCCTCCCAAGATTGGTTTTAGAGTGGGAACAATCTCTTCCTACTTTCATGTTGTCTCCAAATACAAATACTTAGAAGCTCTAATGTTTGATTAGTTTTATTCTTAATTTTCAGTAGGAAATCAATGAAACCAGCAAATGTGGGGTGACTATAAAGGTTCTAGAAACTGCAGAAGTTCCTACTGTTATGATTAATGATATGTTTACTAAAATCCCCATTGAGCTTCTGCCTTGTGCTTTTATTCGTTAAGGTGGAAATTACCATACTTACCTTCTCCATTCTCCTGAGATTGGTGCTGTATGCCCTTTTTGATCCCATCTTAGCCTAAAGATCATCAGGATACCTGTGTGTTGATGACTTCCATAGTTTGGGCTCAGATTTCTTCCCTCAGTTTCACTTTCTTTTGTCTTTTTCAGTTTCCTAAACACTTGCCATAATCAGTTTTTACTTAGATCTCAATAGATCTTTGGGCCAAGGAAATGAAATGGTAATATATTGTAGGGGAAAATCCTCATGTGGTTAATAAGTGTATAAAACATTTTAAGTGTTATTAGTGATCAGTGAATTATAAATTAGGTCATACAGAGAAGCATGGCTCACTATGAAATTAGAGATTATTTTTAAAAGTAATTGTTTCAGTGGTCATTTTTATATACTATTGGCAAAGTAGTTTGTTGTATGTACTAAGAGACTTAAAAATATTCTTAGTCTTTGACATAGAATCTTTGTTAAAAAATTCTGCTACCTACAGTATCTAAATTAGAAATAGAGGAAAGGTGTTTATTGGAGCATTTTTTTCTGTTTTTCTAATTTCTTTGATATGTTAAGAAACAGCCTTAAAGAAATGAGTACTTACGGCATATATGTGAAAATATTATATACGCCTAATGATGCTATGTTATGTGGAATCTTTAAATAAATTTGAAAAATTGTTTTATAAGAAGATACAGGAAGAGATAGAATATGAGTTGGGTCTTGAAGAATAGGATGATTTGTAGGTTGGGTATTTCAGTCAGGGGAGACAACATGAACAAAGACACAGAAGTAGAAATAAGTTTATTTTTTGGAAAGTAATGTTTAATTTGGCTGGAAAAGAGGAGTTCATTTTTGAGGAATAGGAGAAAATGTTATTTACCTGTTATGTATTAGATTTTTGTTAGGTACCGAGGGTACAAGGATGACTAAAAGGGGACAATAATGGAAATTTAGAAGAAGGACATAGACAAGAGACAATTTCATGAAAATTTTGAAAAAACAATGAGTGGGTTAAAAATCAAAGTGAAATTTTGATTTTGTATGACAGTAATAACAGAAATGGAAAAGCTAGAAAAGTAGACCTTTGTGAGGCAAGATATCAGTGTAGTTTTCAGTTGACTGAAGACATGCACACAGCAGAGCTTTATCCTATGTGCTTTATTCTTAGTTTGGGTTTGCCTTTTTTTTTTTAAGTAAAACTGAGTGTTGTCCTTCCTATATAGCTAACTACCTTTCTAGTTTTTAATATGAAATCTGCCAGGAAGGACTTTCTTGGGAATTGTAAAAGTAATTGAAGTAGTAAAAATATTAAAGTATTGTAATAAGGTCTATGCCATTTAGTTCTTAAGGTTTTTTTTCATGTTCTGGAAACTATACTTGTGTTTGGTTCTCTTCGCCTTGTTTAATGCCTTTGCTTCACACTGTAACATATTGGGCATGGGACATAGCCTTAAGGTAACAGTGAAACTCATTCTAAACTGTATTATAGGGAAGTTTCTTTCTTTAGCAGATGGGAGATTCTTTGGTCAGAGAGACCTACGAAGGTGAATGCTTCCCAGGCTCGCCAGTTTAAACCTTGTATTAAGCAGATAAATTTTCCCACAAATCTTATACGGCTGGAAGTAAATAGTTCTCTTCTGGATTATTACACTGAATTAGATGCAGTTGTGTTACATGGTACGAAGGACAAGCCAGTGCTTTCTCTCAAGACTTCAGTTATTGACATGAATGATCTAGAAGAAGAAGACTATGAAGAAAAGGATGGTTGTGGAATGGACAATCTTAACAAAAAGCTTAGCACTGCCCTCAGGGCTGGGCCAAATAATGGATATTTTGACAAACTACCTTATGAGGTAAGCCAAATATATTCAGTAGCAATATTGGATATAACACTAATTTTTAAAAGTTTACATGTTAATATTTGTTTTCCTAGATACTGAAGAAATAGAAGCATTGGTAAGGTGTACATAACCTGATGTATATTTTCATTTTGGAAAAACTAGACAAAATTATGTTGAGTAATTTCACCACTTTGGTTTTGGATTAATTTTAATAATAGTTTAATAAACTATTAAATATATGTTTTTATATCACTGATTAACAATAACTGAAATACCTAAACCAAAAATTATACTCTAATTCATAATTACACAATGTAAATATGAGTAATATGTGCTTAACTTTATGCTAAAGATGATTTGCTATTAAAAATAAGAGGATTAATAAGGTTTCAAGAGGAATACTTGTTCTATTTAATAGTCCACAGTTTCTCTCAATGTCGTTTATTTTTCTGTACCAACTCTATTCTTATTCTTTTAAGTAGCTCTAATTTTTGCTCGAGGCAGGCACAGAGTGCCTTTACATAAAGTCTTGTTTTCAGTGAGCCTCTACAGGGGCATTTCTGTATATATTTAACATCCATGGCTCCCAGACATCTGATGCCAGTAGCATTCCCTCTGGGGTAGGGGTGGGGCCTGGCATTCCTGTCCCCTGCTGAGAGCTGAAAATAATATAATTGCCCTGGCTGGTGTAGCTTGGAGTATTGAGTGCTGACCTGGGAACTGAAAGGTCTCCAGTTTGATTCCCAGTCAGGGCATATACCTGGGTTGTGGGCCTTGTCCCCAGCTGGGAGCATCTGATAACAAGGCATGTAGGAGCAATGGATCCATTCCACCTGTCTCTCACACGTTGATGTGTATTTCCCTCTCTTTCCCCTCCCTTTCTCCCTCTCTTCCCCTCTCCCTTCCCCTCTCTCTAAAAATAAATAAAATCTTTAAAAAAGAATAATAAAAAATTTAAAGGAAAAATTTACAACCTCAAATTTTAACCAATTCAGACTATATTCCTTCCAAATTGGTGGGTATTTCAGTTTTCATCGTAAAAACAAGTAGCTTACCATGCATGGAACAGTAAGATAGCCTCTCCAATGCTAATCAGTAACCATAATGCCTGTACAACATTTTACAGTTAAAATGCTATGGTACATCCTATGAAGTAGCTAAAGTTGCCACATAAAGATTAATTAAAGAATCCAAGATAATTCAGTCAATAAGCCATGGGACCAGGATCCATCCCAGGCTTTCTAGGTCCAGTTTTGTGTTATGGAAAGGAAGCTTCACAGAATAGACAAGACCCTCTGGCCCTTAGCGGGAGGAGGGAGGAGGGAAGAAGGAGGAAGAAGGAAGATGTAGGAAGAGTTGACTTGGGGAAGAAGGAGCATGGGGTAGTGACAGTTGTTCCCCAGGGGTTCCCAAGAGAGAGCAGTACATCTGGAGGAAACTAAATCACTTCCTTGATTCTTACCCATATCCTAAAACTACAAAATAGAAATTTAAATTCAGCAAATATATTTTAAACAGTTTATTGAATTTTGTCCAGACCTGTCAAAATACTTGACACATAGTATTTAAATGAGCAACTGAGAGGAAGTTCAGGAGAGGGAAGAGAATGTGCAAAGGTAAGAAGTGAAACTGAGTGGCCAGTTTGGGAAGTGCAGCATTTCAGTATGGCTGGAACAGGATTCGATCGCAGAAGCTGCAAGAGATGAAATTGGATGCAAGCTCAGGGCTGCCTCCGTTCAGAACTCCACAGGACTCTATTCACGTAGATGGCAATGACTGGGACATCCTACCCATGTCAGTGCACAGCCTACTCTGCTGTATCATAAAACTTTATTCTCAAAATACTGAATGCCTAAAGAGGCCATATGGGAAGGGACCTCTTCTTTGAACACTCTATCTTACAGAAATGGGAAAATTCCTATGGGCAAGAAAGCCTTGTGAAGAGAAGATCTGTGGAAAGCTTGTAACCTTTGTCTTTAGGAGACATTTCTTCTTACACTGGAGAGAAATCTTACGAATCTGGGGAATATGGAAAGCCTTCAGCGTTTTTTTCAAATTCAAGAGTCCCTGTTAAGAACTCACTGCAGAGACACAAGTAAGGAATGTGGGGAAGACCTTTAAACACTCATTTCTTAAGTTCTACCTGAGACCGCATCTGGAGAGACTCTGACAGACAAGAGAAGGCCTTTGGTTCCCACCCTTCACTTTCAGGGTTCAAATGAGGATACAGTAGCAGAGAAACACTGTGAATGTTATCTGTGATTCCTGCCATTGTCATCTCATCCTTCAGCTGGAAACAAAATTCATCCTTTTCCACTTTTTCATTCACAGAGGTCTCTGTGGGCTTTACCAAGAGGTTTGCATTCTGTCCCTTCAGCCAGTGTCCTCAAGCTTCTGTGTTTCTCCAATACACAGCAAAGTCAGTTGGGAGAGTCATACGTACTTCAGATATTATAAATAATTCACTTCTGGTTAAAAAAAATGAGAGCAGGTCCAGGATTATACCTGTAATAATTTCACACTCACTTTCTTGTGTTCTTTTGTACTCCTCCTAGGCTTTTTTTTTTTTTTTTAAATGGGAGAGAACGTGGGGAATAATAGCTAGCATTCCAGGAACTATCCGTAACGTGCAGGCATTTTTGCACATGCTTTGGCCCACAATTAGAAAATTGCCCAGGTGTTTGGCATCATGTAAATTTTGTCTTTCATATGTAGGGAAACACTGAAGTCTTTATTTTATTTATTTTAAAAAGGGAATAACAAGAGACTTCTGTTATAGAGTACTCTGTTGGTAAATGAAGAATAGACCAAAAGGAGATCGGGTGGGAGGCAGCAAAACAAGTTGGGAAGGTGCTGCAGTAATTAGAGCAAGAAATGATGAAGCCCTGAGTATTGGAAGTTTTGAAAAGGAGATGAGTGGGAGAAGTACTCTAGAGATGCAGAAGGTAGAAATCAAAGGCAACTAGTGAATATGGAGGTGAAACAGAACATCAGAGGGACTTTAAATTTCTGGTTGGAATGACTCAGTGGATGGACATGCCATTATCATAAAACAGTGGGTGAAGCTGGGAAGGGTACGTTGACTTTGAGGTGCCTGTGATTTATCAAAGCAGGCTTGTCTGATTAAGGATAGTAGGCAGTTGCTATCTGAGTTTGAAACTCAGGAGGAAGGTCTGATTTTACATTTGAGAGAGTCTACTTGAGAGAGAGGAGGGACACCGTGGTAGATGAAATTGACCATTGAAACTGTGAAGTGTGAATAAAGGACCGAGAATAGAATCTTGGGAATACTAACATCTAAGAATTGCACGGAGGAACACAAGTTATGAAAGGCACTCAGGACAAATATGAGATAGTTTTAAAAGCAAAGTGGTAGGAATCTAATGTATAGAAAGCATTAAAAGGATGTAGTTAGTGGCGTTGCTGCAGAGAGTAAGTTACAGTGCCCGCTGGTTTTGGTCTTTGATATTCCTTTACCATTATCTGTTCAGTGGAACCATGACCATAGGATGAGAGATGAGAAAACTTTACCATATTTGGTTAAGGCATCAAGTGGGGAAAGAGCAGAGACAAAAAGGGCTTAATCTCCCAGTTTAAGCAGAAAAATAATTCTGGTAATATACTCTAATATGGGCTGTAACATGGGTAAGACTATCTACCAATAATGAATAATACTGGCATGCTGACTAACACTTCATCCCTTTGTGTTGCACTCAAAAAAGGGGCATGTCAAAATGAGGGAGCGTATGAAGTTATTACAGGTACATCTCTTCTAACTTAACATTTCAAAGGGAGAAAAGACGAGTGGTGTGGAAGATGCAGCCAAGTGGGAAAGTTTCCGTTTGTGATGCAGGTTGGGAGAGATTTAAGCATGTTTATATGCTGAAGGGAAGGAGCCAGTAGAGAGGGAAAGTTCCCAAAACATGCAAGGGGTTTAATCAATACAACAAAGTCATGTAGAAGAAACCAGGAGGTAGAATCAGTATCAGTTCTGGAGGACGTTTACTAGCCAGGATGAAAGCAGAATAGCACATGCAAAGAGTTAAGTTTGCAAAACACTGAATGATCTCACAGTGAGTAAAAAGAGAAACTTTGTTAAAAAAAAAGTTACCCAAATTATTTAAAGCTAATACAAATTATTTCAAGGGGAAAAAACACATTTAAATACCTCAAGTGATATGTTTTTATTATTTATTTGGTAATAGAATTATTTTCGAATTCTTGGATATTTATTAATTTTTTAAAATTTAATCTTTATTGCATTTTTTCCATTACCAGTTAGTTCCCTTATACCCCCCTCTCCCCAGCAATCACCACACTGTTGTCCATGTCCATGAGTCCTTTTTCCTTTTTGCTCAACCCCTCCGCCTCCTACCCTCCGTGCCAGCTGTCATCCTGCTCTCCAACTATGAGTCTGTCTCTATTTTGCTTGTTTAGTTCTGTTTGTTCATTAGATTCCACACATGAGTGAAATCATATGGTATTTGTCTTTCTCTGACTGGCTTATTTCACTTAGCATAAAATAACTATGGTACCTATACACTTATTAGACCCAGAGAGCTATTGATATGGGAAAGATAATAGAGAAATAAATAAATAGAACAGAAGAGGGTCTAGAAACAAACCAGCAAGCAAGAAAGAAACATTGTCCAAGGGTTAGATTTCTGTAGTTTTTTAAAAAAGGAGCTGGAATGTAAAACAATACAACAACAAGCAGTGCCGAACTGTTTTTTTTTTTTTTTTTTTTTTTTTTTCCTTTTTCGGCTTTTCAGAGTGATAAAAATTAAAGAATTGATGCCACTGCTGTCTAGGATATGTGAGTGATTACTTTTATACACTATTTGTGGTAAATTGATGCAAACATTCTGAAGGACAGTTTTGTGCTTACATCAAACTTTAACATGCATGAAATTTACCCTAAGGTATATTTGTAGAATTTGCCAAGATATACATATACACAATGAAATTGAAGTAATATTTGCAGTGAGGAAAAAAACAGGAATATATTAATAAGAAATGAGTTAAATTAGTATATCACATAATAGAAAATGGAATGGGTTGGATTCGCATGTGCAGTTATAAAAATATCTACAGGATCTATCATTAAATGAGAAAAGTGAGGTCCAGAACAGTATATATAGTATCATTCTTCTAGTGTAAATCCAAGGATAGAATTTCTTACGTATTTATCTGGAAGAGATCAGGAACACTGTTAACACCAATGGGGAAAGGGATTGTTAGAAACTTTATTTTCTACCTTTCACAGTGTTTGGGTTTTCTATGTTTTACCTGAATTTTCTTTTTTTGTTTTGTGTAATATTTTACATATCAATAGTTTATATGTTATCTGAACGATGAGATTTCAGACTAATTTTTACTTTTCTTATATTTCCCTGTTTTTATTACACATACGCACACACCCTTAATCTTATTTTTTAAAAGCCCTGTTGAAATGTCAAAAATAAGTAGCAAAAATACCCTAAGCTTTACCATACTCAATAAATTTAATTTGTCAGCAATGCTAAGGTTTTGTATATACTCTTTAAACTGATTTTAAATATCATGTTATCATTATTTTATAATATTTTGGCCTAAAAGTGAAATTCTGATCTGAATTTAATAAATTGAAAAAGAACATTTATGTTAATGGGCATATTTGGCAAAAAGAAAGTGTAGCTGGATAAATATGCTTCATTAAGTAAAAACAAAAAGAAAAGCAAAGAAAACCCTCAATCTTCTCTCTCATCTAACGATTTTTACCATTTAGCAAATATTTTATCTTTTTTTTCCCCCTTAATGTTGCTTGGTTCAGAATAGGCTATTTAGCAGTAGTTCTTTGAATATTAGTTTAGAAGCCCCCAACTGTTCATCCTTAAGAGAAAAACAAAATTTTGGGCTAGCTCAAGGAAACTTTTTAATTAGAGATAAAAATCTTTTTGATATCTCTCTCTCTGGGTTTTTTTTTGTTTTGTTTTGTTTTGTTTGTATCTGTCTGCCACTCTGTCATTGCTGCCAGCTTCCTGAGTCTGGCTCCTCTTTTCTCTCTACTCTGCAGTATTCTGCAGAATTCTGCAGTAGCACCCTGGCTGCTTTCCCTACCTGCCTCCCTGTCCCCAGGAGGACCCCCTGCAATAATCCTTCTAAAACACAAATCTGACCATGTCACTCTGCCGTTTAAATCCCTTGAAGGCTCCTCATTGCTTTCAGAATAAATCCCAGCTGCTCTGTGAGGCTTTTTGTAACCTCTCTTTCCTTTCTCCTAGTTTGCTTTCCACCCTTTAAAGCTGAGCCTTCCTGTTACAAGTCCTTTCACCCTGCTAATGTTAGGCCCACGTCTTGTGTTAGGTTCTGGTGGCAGTCTGTGCTGCTCTCTCTCAAGGCTATTAAAACATAGCATTGTACTCATCAAGCCCCACTGGACTCTGCAAACTTGAAAAGTGGGAACTCTTTTCTATCATCAGTGTTTGATGGGTAGTAAATATTGAATCTGTGAAAAATTGTATTATTCAATAGATTACTAAAATATATCGGCCCTATAAAAAATTAGAGTGAGCTGAGTGTGTTTTGAGCAATTTTGAAATGTAATAGAGCCTTAAGGAGGTATGGTGTCTTCTGCTTTGGATAATTTGGTGGAATGTTGATTTTCTTTTTCTTAGTATGTGAAAAAAGTGTTATAAAATATATGATACTGTTCTGTTTTTCAATCTTGATGATCTTGGTTTCTCTGTTTTATGTAGCTCATTCAACTGATTCTGAATCATCTTACGCTACCAGACCTGTGTAGATTAGCACAGACTTGCAAACTGCTGAACCAGCATTGCTATGATCCTCTCCAGTACATCCATCTCAATCTGCAGCCTTACTGGGCAAAACTAAATGACACTTCACTGGAGTTTCTGCAGACTCGCTGCACTCTCGTCCAGTGGCTTAATTTATCTTGGACTGGCAATAGGGGCTTCATCTCCGTTGCAGGATTTAGCAGGTTAGTACCAAGCTTGTTGAGGTTATTTCACCAGCAGGCTGTACTTATTTTGTAGTAGTGTCCAAAATGAAGTTTTAAATCATATACCATGTACTTTACAGAAATAAAGAAGAAATATATTTTGTGCATCGTCCTGTTCAGAATGCTTCGGCTTATAAAAGTGAATGAGTTTCACTATCCTCTTGAGTTAAACTTCATGATAATATGAAGGGAAACTATATGCCCTTTACCTCATATTTTTAAAATCCCAAGTAACTTTCAACAGAGCTCCTTTTTTTATTTCTCATATTTTCAGCACAGATGATTAACACATTTAAAAAACTATTTTCAAATCAAAATCTACCTCTCTAATGTGATTTGCCAGAAATGGAAAACAATTTATTATAGAGCATTTTTAATTAAATCTTAATTACGTATGCAATACATCACCCAAATTTAGAAGCATATTTAAACTAATTACGTTGAAAATGCAATTGCATGCTAAACAGGCGACCACACTTGCAGACCTGCCCAGGTGTTTCTGCTCCTTTCTATTTAAGCATTTAGTTTCCTTACTATTAAATGTCACCTGTTAAACATGGGAAAGCTTGCACCAGTGCATATTCATTTAGTAATGCCATAGTAATTTTTCTTAGGCTACAAACAGATGTTTTTCTCTTAACCTTGATGATGGTTATTTTCAATGTATGTTAAAATCTACCCCCATCATTTCATTAAGTTAAATAATGAAAGAGTAGAAACTTTGGGAAAATTACCTATTATTTTTGATTAATGAATAATCTTCTATCCTGTTTTTAGAAGTTAAAATGAACTCCAGCTCTCCGTACACACATCCCTAGTGGCTACATTCTTGAATGGTGGTTTATGAATTAGAAATTTGTATATTGAGCCTTGTTTTCCCTCAACTTACATTACAAAAAATAAACATGCAATTACAGAAAACAAAACAAATATTTGATAGCACTAGATTCAGATGAAATAAGTGTTTGAAACAGGAAAAATGTGTTCAAAATGCTAATATTGACAGTTTATGCAATAAAGTAAAATATATACACATAAGCAGGCACTTGCTTATAGCACATGTTGAAGCCATGCATGCACTGACTGTCTTTCTTTTCTGCTAGAAATGGAAATTGGGGGGCGGGGGGAGGAGAGGAGTTCTTCCATAAAACTTTGCAGTATTGTCAGTCAGAGGGTCTAAAGATTTTATACTATGCTCTGTACACAAAATTCCTTTTCATCATGTAAATTTGCTTAAGAGAGGATATATATAGTAGAAAAAAATAAGGCATTCCTTTTAGCAGTGTGATTTTGGTGAATTTTTTAAAATTGCTGGACATATGACTACTATCTAGTGGAGCAGGATTTAGTTCTTTCTACTTCCCCAAACATGCACTTCATTCGCAAATCTTCCCTGCTAATGGGATCAGGGAGAACTGAAGCTAATGACGACTATGGGTATTTAGAGCATACACTTTGGATTATAAACTGACAAACCGAGAGCAAATAGAACAGTTGGTGTCAGTAAGTATTATCTGACATTATAACAACCTTTCTGGTATTTTAGTTACCCTCATAGCTCTTTCACACTATTAGGAATTTATTGTTTGTTTTCAACCCTTTATGTGTAAAGACATTTTAATAAGTGTTGTTGAGACCATGTAAAGAGATGTATAACGTAGTTTCTGCCATCAGGCTGCAGAAAAGATAAAGATAAACATAAAAATATATCCTTTCTACATTTTTAAAAATAACAGGGTGGCAATTAATGAATATAGACAGCAAAGGAAACATTGATAATGAATGGCTGAAGTCCAGCTTCTTTGGCAATATATTACCTATAATAATGATATAATGAGTAAAATGTAAAGGTAATATTAAATCAATATTTTAAAACTCTGTAACTCATTCTGGTGCATGAACAGAAATGTAAGGTGAAAGAAGAAAACTTAGCAATGCTATTTTTTAAATTCTAGACTCATAATGAATAAAGATCTTTTGCAAGGTTAAAGCTCCAATCTACTTTCTTACTAGCAATTCCTCTTTCATTTTCATTCAGCCATGTTAGTTGCTGTGGGACTGTTTGAATAATCACAGAAGTACACATACATAAATTTAAGTTTTTCATATTTTACTGTAGTTTTCAGCCAGTAAAACCATAAATCTTCATAGCATCCTTTTCAGCATAGCCATTGTTCCCATTAAGAAAAGCAAAAGTTTAAATAACAGGGAAAGAATCTTTTTTGGGGTGGGAGACACTGGAGTTTTGCCTCCTGATTGCTGTTGGCCCCCTGACATGCCTGCTGAATTGACAGTCATTATGGCTGGTAGGCAGCTTTCCCAGAATAAACAATAAATATTCATGGCTTGATTATTAATGAATAATCTATGAATAAGTATGGTCTATTTGTGCTCATTACTGTGAAGAAGACTTATTTATAATAAAGAAAAAAAGTATACTTTTAAACTAGAGACCAGTGACGATGAGCTACTTTTTGAGCAGGTCTTTGGGAAAAGTTTGATACAGTTTGTTTTTGTTGCCTAAAAACCTTATTCTCACAAGTTGGAACTGTTTAAGTGGATTTTAAAGAATTTTTTAGGACTTTTTATTATCCAAAATAGTAAGAAAATCGGTTAAATTGGAATAACAAGTATTTTAAAATTTTAATCAGTTATTAAAATCCTGTCTGCAGATTTGTGATTTGCAACTTCAAATACTGCTCAGGTATATTATTACTCATTAAAATTACATCTATTATATTTCTACTTTTCTTTTATAATACAGTTCCCTAAAGTCTTAGCTATTCCTTAATCATATCATTCCGATGTTCGAGAGCCTTAGGTTTATTTTTCCACCACTATTTTCTTTAGATAGTTACCCAAACTAATTACCTTGATCTCCACATTAGTTATGTAGAGATTTTTTACCCCTAAACCCTCCACTTATTGCCTTCTGAAAACATTCTTGGATGCTTTCTAGATTTAAGAACTTTATATTAGATATTTTGACACAGAGTTATAGTTTTATGGGATAAAGAGCTTATTACCTATTCATAAGTTAGTTTATTCATTTGCTTGCCTGTACTTCATATAGTTGTCTCTTTCAGATTGTCAATACCTAGAGATTAGAGACAATTTAGACTTCCTTTTACAATTGCTGGATAGCACCATACAGAGTTAAGCAGGAAGTTTTGTTTTTAATGGCTTTATTTTGGACCAGATTTAATAAATAATGTTCCAAGTTATTTGGGGTTAAAAATTATCTTAAATATACTGTTTTATAAAATTCAGGTTTAGCTAACAAAATGTAAGATTAGGAATTAGAGTGATGGATATTTATTTATATCTAATTCCTTACCTTTATGTGTCAGGCAGATTGTGAGGATTAGTGTCTTTTATTTTGTGATGAGTAAACTCAGATTAAATCATTCATTCATGTGATGTTAATTATTTTAGGGTGCAAGTTACCATTTAGTAAATTACTTCTTATATACTTATATTACTCTGGACAAATTAATTCACCTCATAAGGATAAGCAATTTATTTCTCTCTCTAGAGACTCCTTTTCTCATAGCAGGAGACCTAGTTTGGGATTGTTTGTCTGAACTTAGGTCTTCTCATAATACCTTCAATATCAAGAAATTATGAGAATTCATAACATGGAATGAATAGGCTGTAGGAAATAAGGAATACCAGTAACACAATTGCCATGAATAAATACATGATCAAGACAAAAGCACTATGTAATTATGCATTAAAATAAAAGTGACATGAGCAGCATTAAGGAAGGAAACAAGAGTTGTATTCAGCTAATTGGGTCTGCTGCTACTTCTGCATTCTTAGAATAGACATGTTATGAAAAAGAAGGTAATGTAGATCCTGTAAGTTTAAGAAGAGAGAATATAGGGATATTGACTAAATAATCTGCTCAGAGGCAGTATAGACATGATTGTTATCTTTATTGTGCTTTCAAATTCTGTCATTCTTTAAATCCCTTTGGGAAGCTTTCTAGTCTGTTAACGGTTGGCTTGTTGGTGATTGGCTTGATGTCACTCTGTAAACCCTTTAGAGGGGAAAAGTTCAGTAATGAGAGTGAGGAGAAAAGTAATGTTAAAGTATCCCAAGTCCAATATGAAAAAGAATGGTAGAACAAAGTGCTTTGTCAAATAATGAAGACCTTTAAGAGATAAGATGCTTAAACATTTTAATTTTAAGAGAGTTAATATACTCACTTAACTTCCATGATCTACAGTTCATTTCAGAAGTATCAGTCAAAATGAGGTATCTTTAGTTCCCGGAAATTTTATGTCTAGTTATTTCTAGATTGCTAGCTTATAAATAATGAACCAGCTATAACTACTGTGTATATTCAAAGTATGGTAAAAATGTTAATTTTGTCATATTCCTTGGGAATAGTTTGACTCTATTAAGGGAATAATATCCCGAGTCTGTTGAACTTTGTTCCAGAATAGAGGGAACTTAAATACTTTTTTTAAATTTTTTTTAAAAGATTTTATTTATTTTTAGAGAGAGGGTAAGAGAGGGAGAAGGAGAGGGAGAGAACCATCAATGTGTGGTTGCCTCTCATGTACCCCTAACTGTGGATCTGGCCTGCAGCCCAGACATGTGCCCTGAGTGAGACTGAGTGAGACCAGTGACCCTTTGGTTCACAAGCTGGCACTCAATCCACTGAGCCACCTCAGCCAAGGCTAAATTCTTCAAGTGAATTTTCATAATTGGAAGATTCATTCGCCAAGCTCTCATCAAATGTTTTCTGCGTGTCTGATACTGTGCTAAGTCCTGGGTACACCAAGAATCTGTTTCAAATGCCAAATGATTTAGGCAGCTTATAAAACTCAATATAAACAAATTAGTCAGTAAGGAAATTATCATTAAGAGAAGAATAATAGTTGTTGAGAAATAGATGACTCAGAATTCAATTCAGTATTTAGAAGATATAGCCTAATTTAGTATATGAGGTTTGTCTGGAAAGAGTCCGGCCATTATTAATATAATTAGAATAGTTTGCGGGACATAGATGTATCCTGGGGCCAAGGAGAGTGGACTGGAATGCACATGTGTGAACAATAACAACTTCACTGTACTAGTCAGTGTGGGTGGTAGACATCATTGTGTCAGCATGTGTGCTGTGTGGTCATCGCATTCAAAATGACTGAGTGAATAGAGCAACAGATCTGCATCACATTTTGCGTTAAACCTGAACATTCCTCCGCGGAAACTATTCAGATGATTCAGAAGGTCGCAGCTATAGGCAACTGGTGTTGAGAGCTTTATCACGACAGTGTGCCCACTCATTCATCTAGTCTCTTGCAGACTTTTTGGCAAAACATGAGATCACCCAGGTGACTCAGCCCCACTACCGCCTAGATTTGGCACCCTGCAACTTGTGGCTTTTCCCAAAACTAAAATCACCTTTGAAACGGAAGAGATTTCAGACCATTAATGAGATTCAAGAAAATACGATGGGGCAGCTGATGGTGACTGGGAGAACTGCATCAGGTCCAAAGGTGCCTACTTTGAAGGGGACTGAGGTGTCATTGTCCTGTGTACACTGTTTCTTGTATCTTGTTTCTTCTTCAATAAATGCCTCTTTTTCATAGTACATGGCTGGATACCTTCTGGGCAGACCTCATACATTGTCTATGTTTGGAGTAGATCTGTAATCTCAATACTGAAAGCCACATTCAGTGCCACCACTTGCATCCAGTGCCCCATCCTTCTTCCCTGAATATTGTAGTGGTGTCCTGAAGGTCCCTCTGTTTTACCCATTTCCTTCAGTTTTTTATCCCCACAGAAACCAGAGTTATCATGTTAAAATGCAAGCAGGTCATGTCACTCCTTTGCTCACATCCCTCCTATGATTGAGAATCCCATCTCCCTCAAGATAAAAGCCAAAGTGTTTATAGGACACACTGTATGAACTACCCTTTACCTCTGATCTGTTCTTCATCTCCCCTTTACTTTGTGCCTCCTGCATCAGCCTCCTTACATTTCTTACTCGGAAGTGTTACCTGTCCCTGAGTCTCTGTGCTTGCCCCTCTCTTTGCTGGATACCTGCGTCACTCACCCCCTCACTTCCTTTGCGTCTCAACTCACCTTCTCATTGAGGCTTCTCTGACTATCCTTTGTACCCTGGGCAATATTTCCTATCGCCCTTCCCTGCTTTTATTTCGTCCTTGGCACTTTTCACTCTTTAATATAGTATTTACTCATTTATTTGTTTATAGTCTACCTCTCCTACCCAAACATAAGTAAGCTCAATGAGAGCAGAGGCTTTGTTTCATCCACTCCTAACTCCTCAGTGCCTAGAGTAATGCTAGGTCATAGTAGGAGTTCAGTAAGTATTTGTTGAATGAATGAATGTGCTTGATGCAAACTGCAACTTAGTTTATACAACCAGCAGAGGTAACAGTAGTCAGGCAGTAGGAAGAAATCCAAGAGAGAGAGTAGCTTGAGAGGTGTCAGAGAATTTTAAGGAAGTGTGGGCAGCTGTTTGAAATGCCACAGGAAGTCAAGTAGTACAAAGACTGAAAAGAAAGGCCATTGAACTTGCCTGTTAAAAAGAAAGGCTGAATTTAGGGAGAGTAGACACATTTTGCAATGGATTAAGAATAAATGTGTGTTCAAGTGTTAAGATGTGTAGGCTACAGATTTATTTGCAATATTTAAAATAAATTTGTAGCAACTCTTTTTTATTGTTTGAGTGTGAGTTGGCGAAGATTTAACTTTTATTTCAGTGTTTGTGGGGTGCTTTGATCTTTTGAAACTGCTTTCACATATTGTTTGATGTTCAAAACCATGAGGTAGTGTGTTGAGCACTGTTACGTGATCCTGGTCGGCCTTATACAGCCAAGGAAATGCTGAGACTTGGCTGCCTTTCCCGAGGTCATATGCTAGGAAGTGGCGGAACAGAGCAAAAATTCCAACTTTGGACTTAGAAGTCCAGTGTTACTTCCATTATTTACTCAAGTGATTTGTTAATTTTATTTTGTGTGTGTATTTGTAAGCTAATTAAATTTTTTTAGGAGAAAGACTTGCCATGAACTGAAAGCACGTTACTGCTGTGACCCTCAGATGAGCAAGAGAATGTCAAAAGACCTGCACAGGGGTGGCTGGTGCACTTGTTTAAGGTTCAGTTTGCTTAGTTGATAGTTCCGTGAATTCAGATACTCCTAGATCGTGTTTACTTTTAGATTATTTTCAGATGATGATTTTGGACAGAAATGTCTTTCCCCATCTTTAAGGTAGCTAAGATAAATATTGTTATTTTTATTATGAGAAGGAATTTTATGTCCTCCACACTGAATTATTTCTCTGTATTTTATGTGAGGCTGCAATGGAATATTTTGTAGTAATTTCAACATTAGTCCAACTGCTAAATAGTAAGTTACAAGGAACATATCACAACAGTACAGTTAAGCCAACCCAGAAATATACTGAGTTGAGAGGAAGCTAGTTTGATTTGCTTTGAGGTCATTTAATTAAAGCTGTCACTTTGCGTACCATGTGAAAGCAAATTATCCAGTATTAAATGGGTACTATTTAGGAGGTAATGTCTTCCCAGAGTTTTGAGTTTCGTTGCATTTTGTTTTTTGGCTCTACTAATGTAGATGAGAATTTTGTGTACATAGGAGAAACACATGCTCTGCTTTCTTAATTTCCATTTAGTTGACTTTTTTTGTGATGTGAGTTCATTTTTTCTTCTTAGGTTGATTTCTTTTAGTTTAACCATGCCTATTTTAGTATGTAGTAAATGAGTATTTAAGTGAAGCAAGTTTTACATTTTCCTTAATAGAAATCCATTCTTCAGAAGGTGTCTGGCCAGAGCTGATACAATTCCAAAATACTTGCAAAAAAAAAATACTTGTAGTTTTACAAAATTCACAGGAAAAACCTAGATGTTGATCATTATTTTTACAGGTTTCTGAAGGTTTGTGGATCCGAATTAGTCCGCCTTGAATTATCGTGCAGCCACTTCCTAAATGAAACTTGCTTGGAGATTATTTCAGAGATGTGTCCAAACCTACAGGAGTTAAATCTCTCATCCTGTGATAAACTGCCACCTCAAGCTTTCAACCACATTGCTAAATTATGTGGCCTTAAACGACTTACTCTCTATCGAACAAAAGTAGAGGTAAGAATAACTCATTTACATATTTGCTAATGTAATAGCCAACTGAATATTTAGTTGCTCATAATAATGTGATTTCTGGTTTTTATATAGATTAAGTTTATGGTGCACCTGGCTATTCAAAATTCATTAGAACTGATTCAGTCATTTCAAGACTATTTAGAGTCTTTTTTTGTTGTTGTTTTAGTTATAGGAAGATGTTCTCTGTGCTCTTAAAATTTGTGTAATGCTCTTCGTGTTTCCAGGTAAATAAACAAGCAGTGGGCTGAAGTGAGCTGAAATGCTGATAGGGAATGAATTAGAGAAAAGAGTAGGAGCATGGCATGCAGGAGGCCATTTGCTTGGAGCAGGAAGAAGCAAAGTGGAATTTTTCCAGGACCAGATTTAGGCGTTAAAATTTCTGATACTGTTTTACAAGTCTCGGTAAAGAAAAACGGAATTATGTCTCATATATTGATCTATGGGCTGTTTCCATGTAATATCTCTATGACATCTTTCCAGGTCATTACATATACCACCTGACTGTTTTCATTAACTGGCTAGTGTATGTTATTCAATGCTCTATTCAACCATTCCCCAAATGATCAACATTTGGGTTTCTCCGGTCGTTTTTCTTTTACAAACTACCACAAAATTTTACATTGGCATGCCATTATTGCTGTGGGATGGAGTCCTGTAGCTGGTGTTGCCAGGTCAGAGTATGTGCTGGGCCCCTGTAGTAAACACCCATTCATTGTCCCGTCCTTGCTTCCTCCACTCCAGTCACGCTGGCCTTCTTTCTGTGCCTTGAACATTCTGATTTGGCCTCAGCTCATGGCTTTTTCTCTTCTGCCTATCTGTAGTATTCTTCCAGCTCTATTACACGGTTGCCTCCTTCTTAGCTTGATGTTCAACTTAATTTTCAGAGATGGATTCTTAGACATTGGTAAAAGGTGACCCCCTGCTTCTAGTTTTCATGTCACCCAGTTTTTTCTTTTTTCTCAGCATCTTTATGACTCTGAAATTGCTGTTTTTCTTGCTATTATCTATCTGCTTTCACTGGGAGATAAATTTCGTGAATGTAAGAGCCTTAATCTGTCTTTTTCATTGCCGTGTTTCCGGCATCTAGAATAGACTTGGTAAAGGTTACCCATTCAGTAAATACTTACCTTGATCGAGGTATTCAACCTCTCAGTATTTCAGTTTCTTCATCTCTAAAATAATAAAAACACAGATCTCATATTGTCATTGTAGGAATTAAATTACATGTAAAGTGCTTGAAGGATGCCTAGAACATAGTAAACTCTCAAGATGTATTAGCTTTTAATAACAGTAGTAGTAGTGATAATATCATCATGACAGTTTTGTAGTATGTTTTGCCATGTGGTAAGGCAAGTCACTTCTCTAGTCTTTTTTAATGTTTTTTTTTTCCATAAATCCTTGTATATTATTCTTCCAGATGTATCTTTCATCAAGGATTTTATTAGAAAGTACATTCATTATAATTCATTTTGCTCTTTAATAAGGCTTGTCATCTGTTCATGTAGCTTCTTGCTTTATGTCCAAGAATATGTTATAGTTTTCTTCACTTAAGTTTTATATCTTTCTGGTTAAATTTATTTCTTCCATCTTACAGTCTCAGATATTATTTTCTATTTAATTTTAGTTATTGTTAGTATAAAGGAAAATTAGGTTTTTGTATATTTATTTTATATCTGCTAACCTTACTACATGCTCATAATTGTTATAATAAGTTTTTACTTAGTCTTTTGGATTTTAATGATAGAGTTATTATCCAGAAATAATACTTTTTCTTTCTTTTCCAATATTTAAAGCATTACTACACTAGATAGAACTTAATAAATAACGTGGAATAATAGAGTCACAACAGGTATACCAGTCTAATTTCTCCTCCCTCCCTCCCTCTTTCCCTTTTTATTTTAGAGAGAAGGGAAGGGAGGGAGAAAAAGAGGGAGAGAAACATCTGTGTAAGACAGGAACAATGATTGGTTGCCTCATAATGCACCCTGCCTGGGGACCGAACCCATAACCCCACATGTGCCCTGGTCAGGAATTGAACTGGTTAACATTTTGGTTTGTGGGACACTGCACCAACCAGCTGAGTCACACTAGCCGGGGGCATACCAGTCTTATTTCATTTCTAATATAATGGGATGTCTTCAATGATTTATGTTTTTTATATTTATACAAAAAAACATTTAGTACATATTTTGTGCCCGGCACTACTAGGCCCTGGGACTTTAGTAGTCAACAAAACAGGCAATTCCTCATGTAGCTTACTAATTTTATTTGTTGTTTGATGGTGTTTTATGATAAGCAGTCTTTATCATTCTTGTTTAAGAATATTTTATCAAAAAATATATATTTTAAGTTTTTAAAGCCTCTATTAACACTCATCTGTTTTCTTTTATTTATTAACATAATGGCTTATGCTGAATAGTCTTTGCTTTCCTGGAGTAATCTGTACATGTTTTTAATTTAATACGTAGCTAGGTTAATTTCCTAACACTTTAAAGTTAAACTCCTTGGGTTTAGATTCTAGTTTTATCGTTTACTAATTGTGTACCTTGCAGAAGTTTCCTCACCCACCATGCTCTAGCTTTCCATTTTATAAAGTATGTAAAGGAAATAAGAATAGTATGCATCTCAGAGAGTTGTTGTGAGGATTACATGATTTGTCTACAACAGTGTCTGGTTAATAGAAAATATTCTTTAAATAACTTTTGCGTCTGCTTCTTTAAGTGAGATTGAACCAAAATTTTCCTTTTCATGCTGTCTTACTAGGCACAGGGCTAGGATTGTGACAGCATAGCAAAGGGATTTGGGAAATGCCCATCTTTTTCTCTGATCTGAAATAACTTGAAGAAATGGAAATTATCTGTTAGATAACATTTACCTATAAAACCACTTGGGTGTATAGCTTTTTTTAAATTGGTGAATCAGAGTAGGTACCTTTTTCTAGACATAGCTTTTTTTCTAATCTATGGAAGCCTGAAAGTATGTGAGTATGAGAGCTTCTGTTTAATGCAGCCTTCCTGGGTTTGGGGAAAATGTTTAGCTAGAGTTTAACTGGTGACCTGGTATGATGGAAAGAAGACTTTGATTATAGTTACGGCCCTACCAGTAACAGGCTTAATAATCCAGGTTAAGTCACATTGTCTCTCAAGTTCCTAAACTGTTTGTAAAATGAGAAGACTATATAGTCTGTGAATGCCAGTGTAAAGATAATGTTAGCCCATGTTTTTATTGGTCTGTAAAATAATGTATTGTTGATGTCTAGGTGGTGTATTCTTTAAGTGGTTAGGAACGCTGAGGCATGTTGCAGGTCTGATGACCCAATGTGAGTGAACCTGTAGTAGTAGGGTCAGAATTGCCTCATATGCTGGTAGGTAGGACCTGGCATGCTAATGTGGCTTCTTTATGAGCCAGTGGTGAAATAGGAAGTGGGCCCAGGGGACTGGCCTTCTCTCTACCTGATAGATTCTACCAACATGGCTGCTGCATTGACCACGTAGCCTCATGTATAACCTTGTCAAGAACCAAGGGTGTGTCCCAGTGCATATCCTTTGTACTGCTTGATTGCTGCTTTAGTAATAAAGTAAAATGAGAGCAACCTTAAAACAAATCCCAGGTGGCATCGTCACTAACTTTTGAGCTCAACATTTTATGGTGGCCTAGATCATTAAGATTTTTCTGTCCCAGCTCCACTGTTTTGGCTAGTACTATGGCTAGCACTCCACAGTGAGAGAAAGCAGCAATAGGATCTTGTTGAGACTTTAGCCATTATTAAACTGTTTAGCACTGAGGTTTGAATATCTGTTTGATTCACATATTATTTGGTAATTTAAAAACTGGGGAGATATTTATTATTTAGTCTGTATCAAAGTCTCAAGTCATAAAACTGTCCTTATTTTGGCTTTGTCATGAGAAAGATTTGTGTGCTTGGGTAAGTTACTTACACTAAGTTTTTGTGTTTTTTTAATCTTTAAAAAAAAACTTACCCAACTACATAAGCTTTTAAGAAGACCATATTAGGTCATACATGTTAAAAAAAAAACTCTTTATAAGTTAAATGGATTTGTGTAGATATGAAGTGATAGTATAGACTTACTGAGTATATTCCTACACAATTATCCCTACCTCCATGAAGTATTCTTACAGATCTTCCTCAATAGGATTATTTTTTCTACCAAGTGCTAAGAGAGATTTAATCTGCATTATCTCTTTTCACCCATAAGATTTGTTTCTGGTAAAAGGAATATTCATTCCAAAATTGTAAACTCCGTAATGGGAGGGACATGTTTGACTGTTCTTTACAACTAGTACCTAGAATAGTATCTGGTATTCACCGTAGTATATAGTAACTACTTAGTAAATTTGTGTTGAATGAATGAGCAATAGCTATCTTTTATCAATCCGTTTTTTCATTATTAGATAAGTTAGCATAAGTTTGCCTTTCTACTGAATAACCACATCTACTGAGTAGATGGGTGGGTGGATCAGCAACTTGAAACTCTTGTAAAAAAAATATTTGAACTGTATTTATTCAGAATTTTTAGCCCTAATAAATAGTGAAATATAGTTCAATTTGTTTTAATTTACTTCATGAGATCTTTTTCTTTCTTTAGATGTGTTTAAGATTGCGATGAAAAATCGCTTTGTCAGAGAAATAACAACTGTCTTATAACATCAACAAAAACAAAATATAATCTTTAAATAAGCTATTTGCAATTTAGTGGTATACATTTGTAGAATTTCAGTAGACTCAAAGCAGTAAATATATGCCTAGTAAAGAACAAGCTATTACTACATTAAAGAGAGACAGAGTAACTGTCTTTACAAGAAGCCCAGTGTATGCTAACAATGTCACGTGTTTGTACTTTCTTGGAGAATGGTCCGCGTTGGGAAACCTTGTTAGAAGAAATAACCGTAGAGTTGAGATTTATTTATTTTTTTTTACTATATTTTTTTAAATTATTAGTTAATTTATTTACTTTTTAAAT